TAAAGAGATGCAACTTTAGCAGATGCTAATTTTGCAACGGATTTGAAATAAGGTTTCCAAGAAAGATCAGAAGTGAGAGTTAATCCTAGAAGATGAAGCGTAGATGACTCATCAAGTACATTACCGATCATAAATATAGGAAGGTCTAAATTATTGCGATAACGATTGGCTGAAAAAAATTGAGTTTTATCTGAATTAAAGTTCACCAGCCACTGTGAGCCCCATGCTGTAGCAGAAGTGAGATCCTTTTCAAGCTCAAATGCCTACTGCAAGCAATCAGAGGGAGTTGGCTTCTTATCGTGACAAGAATAAATGGTAGTATCATCAGCGAACAATGCCACCTTAGATGTAAGAAAATCTGGAAGATTGTTAATGTAAATTAAAAAGAGTATAGGGCCAAGGATTGAACCTTGAGGAATACCTGAGGTTACAGAATAAGAAGAAGAGTGCTGTCCATGAGGACAACTTTTATACTACGATTGGAAGGAAAAGAATTCAATAATCTTAAAAATATTTTCAGATACACCGTAAAAAGAAAGCTTATAGAGAATGGCCTTAACCTCTCCATCTTTATCTAATGCACGACAAAATAGATCAACCTGTTTGACAGCTATATCAGGTAGAACGCAACTAGTGGAGTCAAGAGATGATATTGATGAAAAGTTCTTAGCAAACAATTCAGCTTTGTCTTTAGATGAGGTGACAGTCTGAACCATACAAAAGAGGTGGAATTACAGACTTGCCCTAATTATTGATACTATTAAAGATTCTCCAGAAGTCACGAGAGCCTAACTTTTGTGATGAAATACGAGGTTTCATGGTCTGAGAATAGCGGGCTTTGGCGTTAGACAAAACCTTTTTACAATGGTTTCTAGCAGTAATAAAAAGACGTCTGTTTTCTGGAGAATTGTTTGCTGATAAATATGGAAGTAATGGTTTCGATTGGCAATTGCAGCAGCATAATGTGAGGAAAACCATGGAGAAGAGTGAGGCTTGACCTGGAATCGTCGAGAGGGAATAAAGGATTCCATGCCAGCCTGAATCCACGAAGTTATGTAAGAAGCACATTTGTCAATAGGAAGACGAAATATTTCTACCCAGGGGCCATCACGAAAAAAATCACGGAAAGAGTCCCATTCAGCTTTAAGGTAGTAAGATGTACGATGATAGGAGGATTCTGATGATAAAGAAGAATGAGATAATAGTTTTAGAGAGACCAAACCATGATCAGAGGCACCTAAAGGTGAGTGTGGAGAAACTGAGCACTGACTAGGGTTAGAAACAAGACATAAGTCGAGTAGAGAAGGTAAATGATTCGGGTTATCTGGAAAGCGAGTTGGAAAGTTGACTATTTGAGTTAGGGATTGAGAAAGGCAAAAGGTGTGGGCCTTAATGCCTGCAGAGTCACTGACACTAGAGCCAAGCCATTCAGTGTGATAAACATTGAAGTTACCTACAACAACAATATTGGCTGATGGATAAAGAGAGAGGGCTTGGTCAATATGATCAGAAATAACATCAAAAAGAGTGCAATCTTGAGATGAGGGAGAGCGATATAGAACAAAGAGAAAGGTGACAGAGTGAAGTGGTGCTAAACAAAAGCACATAAAAGAGTAGTCTGTGGATTCAAACCTAGTTTTCCGACAAATGGGTGAATTCTTACGAATGTAAATGCCCAGACCAAGCATGTGACAAACATATTGGAGTCTTTACAAATTAAAGGAAGATAACCATCAACACTAAGATCACAAGATGAGACAGCTGAACTAAAATTAGTCTCACAAAGAGCAAGTAGGTCTGAACTTTGCAAGAGTTAAGATTCAACAGAATAAAAGTTACTTCGAAGACCACGAATATTAGTGAATGATAGGTTTAGCGAACTTGGTGATGACTGTGGTTTTTTGTGTTTTATAGTTTTTGTTACTTTATTCATTTTTAGATTTGTTAAAGAACTTGACTCGAGACATAGATAGTACTCAGTACACTGTTTTATAGCCCAAGCAATTGCCTCATTTCTATTAATAAACCCTAAGCCGTAACAAAGGGCTCCAATGTGGCCTTGGCAATGCACACCAAAAGTACAAACAGGGACACCACCCATACGCAACATGGCACTGTTAGTACTTTGATATTTTTCAGCTGTTGATGGAATCAGCCTCTCTGAGAGCTATCACAGAGTTTAAGAAACCTGACTGCCAGCCGGCCTCAGAACCATAAAACTGAGTTTTAGAGCTGTACCCTCATTTAGAGATATTAGAATGAGTTGCTTAGTCATAAAAACAGAAACACTAGCAAAACCCATGTATCGAGTCAAGAAGATCCAGCGTTCAACATCCTAAACTGGAAACAATGTATTAAAATACATCTGCGCCAGCCTAATAGATGATGACTTACCGGCTATTATTTCAAAAAGGGCTGATCCTTTTGACCCCTTTATGTTTCAAGCGAGGTCGTTTCTTTTTGAACCCACTAGATTAGATTGGGACAGGAGTCAAACGATAAACAGTCTAAAAATATATAAAAATGAGTGTGTTGAAGAAATTTACGACCTTCAAAATGACTGTACAACGATGTATTTTATTATGTTTTACCTTATAAATAGTTTTTTTGATGTTCGAAGCATCTCATTAAAATTTTCTTTTTTGTTTTGCCAATGTATATACTGCGGCATGCCCTTGCGGCAGTATATACATTGGCAAAACAAAAAAGACAAGGGCATATATATATATATATATATATATATATATATATATATATATATATATATATATATATATATATATATATATATATATATATATATATATATATATATATATATATATATATATATATATATATGTATATATATATATATATATATATATATATATATATATATATATATATATATACATTTATATATATATAAATATATATATATATATATATATATTTATATACTATAATATATATATATATATATATATTTATATACTATAATATATATATATATATATACATATATATATATATATATATATATATATATATATATATATATATATATATATATATATATATATATATGCATATATATATATATATATATATATATATATATATATATATATATATATATATATATATATATATATATATACATATACAGTTGTTTTTATTTTGTATAATTGCTATAATTATTATATATATATCATTATTATTTGTTTAACAATTTTTTTTTTCTTTTTTCTCTCTCGTTTATATATAAATATATATATATATATATATATATATATATATATATATATATATATATATATATATATATATATATATATATATATATATATATATATATATATATATATATATATATATATATATATATATAAACGAGAGAGAAAAAAGAAAAAAAAGATTGTTAAACAAATAATAATGATATTTATAATAATTATAGCAATAATGCAAAATAATAACAATTGTAATAAATTATCAATGGTATTAAGAATATTTATAATACAATAAAAATTGTATGCACATATCATAGATAATAATTAAATATAATTATCACGTTAAAAGTAGTAATAATAACACGATAATAAATATAATATAGATAAATAATAAATAAAGCAAAAATCAAACCACTCGCTCGTTAAAGAAATTATATAATAAAGACAACTACAGTACAGAGATAAATTATAAAGAAATACACTCTAACAATATATTTTTAAATTGAATTTTGTTGAGCAGTAAATAATCCGTAACAAGGGGGTATTTTTATTTTAGACTTTTTTATTAATGCAGGAATACACTGGTTCCAATCGGAAATACATTGTTGTTTTATGAAAAACTTACCATATTTAATTGTATTGAAAATAGAAGAGTATAGCTTACTATTTTCTGTATTCCTGGTGTGATGATTATGAATTTCATTTGTTTAAATAAAAAAAGTATAAAAAGGAGTTTGGTAGTTTATTTCGGAAAATGTCAAACACAAAAAGACAATTGTAAAACTTTACAAGATCATGGAGTTTTAGGATTTTTAGCTCAGAAAATATTTTTTGAATATCAGATCTCATTGACGAAAACGTCATTATTCTAAAAGATGCGCGTTGTAAACTAGCAATGCTATTAAGTAAAAAATTTTTTTTTTGACCCCAAACAATACAACAATAGCGAAGGTGATAAGAGAATAAAGAAGAATAAATCATTCGAAGAGTTTGGATAGGAACATAGTAACGAATCAGAGAAAGCATACTGTTAGCTCGTGTTAGTTTTTATTTTTAAGATGATACAGTTGATTATACCAAGATAGGTTTTCATCAAGACATATTCCAAGATACTTTATATATTTTGATGGGAAAAGGTTTTTCCTATTAATTTTAATTTAAATCATTAATTAAAACAAAATGAGTGCGATCCCTAATATATGAAGAAAACCAATGATTAGCAAAACTACGTATTCCGTAGTAGTTTAACTTTTTTATTAGAATGTTGCGATCAACTGTATCAAAAGCTTTTTATGAATTGGAATAATAGAAGCAGTTTTTAAAATATGAGGGAACACACCGGTGATGAATGACAGATTAAATAGTTCAGCAAGTACATGAGAGATATTATTTGCAAGTGTTTTAAAAATAGGTATTGGAATGCTATTAGGTCCCGAAGCTTTGCTGTCATTAAGAGAATGAATAATAGGTAATACTTCGTTTTTGTCTGTAGGTTTTTATGAATATTGATTTAAGATTAGGATTTCTAAGATATTTATTAAAGTCAGTATTGGATAAGTGAATCTTTTTCTGTAATTCTTCCGGAACTAAAACAAAGAATGAATTAAACATTCCGAAATTTTAATGGGTTCGTATATCATGGAGTTGTTAGAAGATAAGCAGGAAGGATATGAGTTAACTCTCGAACTAATGTTTAAAAGGTTCCTAATACCACCCCATGTAGATTTCAAATTTTTGGCATTATCAGAGAAGAGCTCAGAGTAATGGTTCTTTTTACTACGACGGGTGAGAGTAACAAGTAAGTTTCTATATGTTTTATAAGATTTTTACTACGACGGGTGAGAGTAACAAGTAAGTTTCTATATGTTTTATAAGATTTTTACTACGACGGGTGAGAGTAGCAAGTAAGTTTCTATATGTTTTATAAGATTTTTACTACGACGGGTGAGAGTAACAAGTAAGTTTCTATATGTTTTATAAGATTTTTACTACGACGGGTGAGAGTAACAAGTAAGTTTCTATATGTTTTATAAGATTTTTCTAGATTGAGCTTGTTATTAGAATTCTTTGCTTTAAGAAATTTATTAAATATTTTATTTCGTATTTTAATTGAAGTTAAGATTCCTCGTGTTATCCAAGGTTTGATAAGCAGCATTTGCTGACTTTTTTTAATGGTGCATGTTCATCTAAAATAGAAATAAAATTTGTGAAAAATCTTCAAATGACTTATTAGTCTTACCTTCATTGACATTGATTACATTAGTCCAGCTAATTATTGAGAAATCACTGCATAATTCTTCGTAATTTATTTTTTTTAAAATTCCGACGAAAAATGCAGCTGACTCGTGATTCTTGTTGGCAATGAAATAAAGGTAAGAAAGTTATTTAAAGCAATGTTGTCTAAAAATTCAGAGACATAATTATCTGATTTTGCTAATAAAAGATCGACATTAAAATCACACATTAAAAAAGTAGTTTTGTTTTTTCCATAGATAGTTTTTCAAAAAGTGGAATTAAATATGATTTAATAAATTCTGAAATATCCATACTAGGATGGCAATAAATACAGCTAATAATGATGTTTGATTTTTTAGGAAATATGATTTCCACAAACACAGGTTCTAAAAACTTTGGTTTAAGCTTGTTAAGATCATTTCAAGGTTTGTAAGTTAATGTATTAGATATATAAAGTAAGGCACCTCCAAAATAAAATTTTGTCGGAGTGTGCTCATATACATAACCGGTAAGATTTAATCGGATAGTTGGTAGGATCTCATTTTTTAGTTAAGTTTTTAGTTAAGCCAATAATACTGAATTCATGGTTAATAAGAGATAAAAGTGAGTTTAATTTTTAACAAGAGAAGCAATATTTAAATGAAAAAGAGAAAAACTATTTTTGTTGATGTTGGCAGAGTTGAAACATTCTATGTCCTTATATTTACAATTAATAGCACTTTCTTCGAGGTTTACGTCATTGTCATTGTTGTTGTTAAGTTGATGGGAAATGAAATTATTAAGTTCATTATAAAGATGAGACTCTATGGTGTTTGGAAAAGATGATATGTCGTTTAAGAGTTCATTAACATGAATCTTTATCATTTATCATTTAATGTTTGCAGACGCAGCTCCTTATCAGATAAAGAATTAAAACATATTTCCTAAAGTTAAAAAATATCCGTTTCATTTAAAGTTAGATTTAAGTAAATTTTTTTGTTTTTATAATGTTCTAAAAATGTGTATTTTTGATAATAAATATTTGAAAATATTTTTTCCGAACTTTTTTGATAAAGAGGAAAAACAAAGTACTGCCATGTTCATCATTTGCCGCGTTTATACTTAAGTCGAAGAAAGTTTTTAGTGATTTATTAAATGCTATTAAAAAAAACATTTTATTACTGTTTGTATTCTTTTAACAGAACGGAATTATCTCTGATGTTTCATAAGTTATATAAGTTTTAGAAGCACACTTTAAGTAAATATTTTTTAACTTAACAGTTAATGAGTAAAACCAATTGCTCTTTTTTATTCACCCTGCCTAATAATATTTACAATATGTAAACTGAGTACCACCAAAAACATTCTTAGATTGAATATTTATTAAATGTATTTACCCATATCTGTAATTCTACAGTTAAGCGGCCGTTAAACAATTTAATTTTTATTAATTTTTTAAAAACGTTACAGAGTGTAAAGAACATTTTTTATAAAAAAAGTTATAAATAACTGTAATAAGTATTATCAATTTAATATATTTGTAATAAATATAACAATTTATATATTTATGACAAAAATTATAATAAATAATAAAAGTTTAAACAAATACAATTACAAATACAAATACAATTTAATATTAACAAAAGATATTTTAGTATGCTTTTAAATTCTCTTCGAACGCATTTTAATTCTAAACCTGTCTTTCGAACGACAGATTTAATAAAAATATGCTCTAATCCGCTTAACTGCAGGATTATATGTAAATATTCATATATAAAATTCTGTTATATTACCGATACTTTTGAACGTAAAAAGTGTTTTTTACAATTATTTATAACAATATAACAGTTTAATTATTTTAGAGATGGTATCTTTGTTGGTTAAAATATTTGAAAAAAAACATAGTTTGTCTTGGCATCATGTTTGTGTATTCGTTTTAACATATTTTTCGTATGCAATTTTTCAAGGAAACAGAAGAGCGTTCGACGATTGTAAAAACACATTAAACAATACATTCGTTTTTCAAAGCTCTATAAAATCGTCTGAAACTAATGAGAACCCAATATTATTTTTTAAAAAGCTTGATATTTATTTTGCGTTTGCCTACTCAACAGGATTATTTATTAGTGGCATATTGGGAGATAGACTAAATTTGCGCTTTATGTTAACTTTTGGTATGTGTGGTTCCGCTATTATTACGTTAACAATTGGGTATTTAGAAAACATAACAAAAACTCCGAATGAAAATTATTACTACGTGCTATATTCTATAAATGGCTTATTTCAATCAATAGGTTGGCCAGTTTCAGTTGCAATAATGGGAAACTGGTTTCCTTCAGGAGACATTTTGTACGGGATATGGGGTGGTAATGGATACCTTGGGTATATATTTTGCTCTTATATTGTTAGATACTCATTGAATTATGATTATACAAAAGGAATGTTGTTGAATGGTTCTTTATTGTTTTGTTGTGGCGTGATTAATTTATTTTGTTTAATTACTCATCCAAACCAAGTTGGTATTATAGAAAATAACTTATCAAATGTACGAAACAACAAAAATGACGTGCTTATCAAAAAAGCAGTTGGATTTGGGGAAGCAGTTTTGCTACCTGGAGTTCTAACTTATGCAGTTTCTTATTCTTTTATATTAATGATTAACGACATATTTTTCTTTTCACTGTCAACTTATTTATCTATTGATCCCAGGTGGGATGATATAAAATCTAATAGTTTGGAATCTTACTTCGACTACGGTTCAATAATTGGAGGTAAATATATATATATATTTCTTAAATTAATATACTTTTATATACGTAGCATTACGTAAACTTTTTCATTAATTATAAAAAGATTCTAATAATTTAATTCGCAAACTTGATTTTGCTAAAGTTTTTAAGTTCTCAATTTTCTTAATTCAAAATAATCTTTTTACATAAAAAGAAACCGATATTATGAGAAATTGATTCCAATCATAATTTTAATAACAAATTAATTTTGATTACGAATACGATGGGTTGAGTTATCTTTATTTTAATACGCATGAAATTTTTAAAAATGATTAATGTTTATTTAAGTCGATTATAAAGTAGCAAAATAAGAGCTCAAATAATAGATTTTTTTTTTTTTTAATTTTTAAGACTTTCAAATAAATAAATAATAGTATAAATCAAGTAGAGTTGTTAAGAAGAATATTGCAAGGCCTGGCTGAAAAAATAATAGAATTTCTTAGGCCTCGGCTATTGTAACTAGACAAATACTACACGCTGCAATAACATATGAAGTAAAACTAAGGCTAATGTTATGAAAGTAAAAGTAAATTTTTTTTTTGAAATTTGTAGCATCAACTATTAGTCGTAAGCTCACTGTTCTCCAAATTGACCGCCAGGTTAAAACTCTCCCTACTCCTGATTTTTTTGCATTTAATTAATCATATGCATTAGTAAACACAATTTAAGTTGTCAGAAAAATCTGAACTAAGTGCTAAGTACATATTTTTCAAAATTATAACTTATAATTTTTCGCCTTTTGATTAAAGTCAGCCATTATGGTGGTCAAAATAAACCATCAACATTTATTAACTTTGTTTACAAAAAACACATATAACAAATAAATATATAACACATATTATATTAATGCTTCTGATTATTTAAATTAAAATTAACTACAGCAGATTTTAGCTTTTTTCCATAATTTTTGCGACCTATAAAATAAATAACTATAAAAGAACTTTATAGTTCACCCAAGTTTTTTTAAATTTGTGGTGAACAGCTTCACCACATTGTTCTGCATAGTTTCCTAAGCTAATATTATTGTGTTCTATAAAGGGAAGAATATGACACACTAAAATATGTATTTTCCAGGAAACTTTCAAATCATAGTCAAAAATATCTTTTGCATATAATTGGAGACTTGAAAAAGAACATTTGAAGTCTTCGATTTTAGCAGAAATATCTGCACCCATTTCTAAACCAAACACTGCTGATTTTACTAATGAAAACTTACGCAAACAATTAATTATTGGTAAAATATCAATCGTTGCAGTTAAGGTAACATCCCTCTCCAAAGCATCTAACAAGGACATAAATTTATTAGCATTGTTTCCATCTAAACCTACTCCATGGTATCCTCTCATTAATATGAATTGTGTTTTTAACCAATTTTGAAAAGGTGGCCAAACGCATAAAAGCATAGTACAAAGTTTATCCACAACTCCCATCATAATATGGAGCTCAGGAGGAGGAACAATGTGTTCAAGAATTGTTTCTTGATTTTCTTTTAAGTATATTAAACAAGGATTTATAACATTTTTGTAATCCTGCATTTTTAGTCTTTTTTTTCCTTCACATACATATTGATCATAACATGTCTATGGAACCCAATGTTCTTAGTTTCCCTGCTTTGAGGGAGCATTCTCCTTCACAATAAAGACAAGCATATTTGCCAGAATGACTTGAAAGTCCAAAAACACTGTTTGCACATTTTAAATCAAATGCTAAACTAAAATCTACTTCTTCGAGTTTCAAAGGTTCCAATAATTTTTGGAGATTGCCATTATCCTCTGAAACCATCTCCACAATCGCAAGGATAAAACAACGTTTCACACCAGAATCTTCATACATTTCGGATGAAGAATAATGATTTTTTGGATCGAAAACATTAATAATAACTTTAAGGAAGTTTTGACCACCATCTATAGATTATCTTGCTATTGCATTAGGGGTATCAATACCTCTTTCATCAATTATAAATTTGATAAATTCAGTTGTATTCTTGACATAAACTATATTTCTAACAACTATTTCATCACCGTCAAGGAATTCTTCAGTTTTACATTCATATAAAGTTTCTAGAGTATCCTGTAATTCAGTCATTTTAATAATAATGTTTGATTCTACACCAGTTAGATTACTGCGTAAAGTAGAACACAGTTTTTTAGTTTTGTTCTTAGAGAGTTCTAATACATTCAATAACTCCATAATAGTTTGGAATGAAACTTGATTTACTTTCTTTCTTTTCAACTTATTTTCATTTACTCCAACTGTAATAGAGAGAAGATTTCCACCAGTAGACAACACAAACTGCTCTCCACTTACAATGTTTTCACGTTCAATTTTACGTTTTAACAATCCAGAAGCTACTTGCTCTGCACCTTTATATCCAAGCGATTCACTAATTTCAATTATATTGTTAACAGCTTTACTTTTGCAACAATCATGAGAAATTCCTCTACCTAAAAGTGAGAAATTAAAAAACTATTTTAACAGTAGCTTGAAATTACTTAAAAAACAATAATACATTGAATCAAACTATAATGTAACATAAAGAGAATCAAACTTCAATTAATCTTATTTAAATTATAAAATCATAGTATTAACATACCAAGATTCAAATAGCAGAGCCCACAGATTTTCTTATTCACACTTGAAAAATTCAATTCTGGCTCAACATCTGTCTGGATACATTGCAGTGAAGAGGTTCTCCTAATAGTATTTCTATTTATCTAAAATACAAATGTGCTTTATAAATTAAATCAGTGCTAATATATTTATTCATAAAAACTACATGATTTTTATTTTATATATATATATATATATATATATATATATATATATATATATATATATATATATATATATATATATATATATATATATATATATATATATATATATATATACATAAATATATATATATATATACATACATATAAATATATATATATATATATATATATATATATATATATATATATATATATATATATATATATATATATATATATATATATATATATATATATATATATATATATGAGTGTGTGTGTATACTTATAATATATATAGACAACCACACAAACACAAAAAGTAGCAATTCATCCACATTAAAGTACCTTTGATATAGTCTCTAACCAGTTGGAAAGATATGCAGTCTCCCCTTTGTTTAGACTAAATAAGTTTCATCTGCAGTTGGAACAAACTACAGAAGGACAAATTTCAAGATCGGATTCGAAGTTTGGCCAGATGTATTCTTGAATTTTTTTGCGCACTGAAGGTGTTATAGGTGTTAAAGATTTTGATCTGATACCTTTATTTATCAAGCAAACTGCACAAGTACATAATTTGAAGTCTGACGCCATGTTGAAAAGTGAAAGTTATATCCGTAATTCAATTATATCATTGCCATAAATAGCTTATTTGACTACCATAATGGCTGACTTTAATTAAACTTACGAAAAAAAAAAGAAAAAAAATTATAAGTTTTAACTTTAAAAATATACATACTTAGCACTTAGTTCAGATTTTTCTGACAACTTAAATTGTGTTTGCTAATGCATATGATTAATTAAATGCAAAAAAATTTAAAGTGGGGAGAGTTTCAACCTGGCGGTCAATTTGGAGAACAGTGAGCTTTAACTATAACTATTTAACCATAAATCTTTATTATACTTAACAAGTTTTAAACAATGAATTACATAAATATAACCTCAATTAGGAAATCTTATCAGCATACTCTGAGAAAGGATGCGCTCAATAGTATCTTAAAATGTTGATTAACAAAAAAACTTGTTAAACATAGTTATATTTTTTGAATACTGTTTCATTACATATACCTTTTTAAAGCCAATTTTTTTATTGATTTAAATTTATAGAAATTAATAAAATTCATTCTATCTGGAGAATTGAAAGTCTTGAGTAACAGTAGTTTCAGTTCTGATTAAATTTCTTGCAGTTATTGTTTATGAGCAAACCATTCTAGTTTGTTAGTAAAGCCAACAATCTTTACTAGCAAACTAGTAAACCATTGTTAGTTTGATAGTAAATAAAATATAAAAGCAAATAATTTAAATACTAAAAGTTTTTAGTTTATAGTATAGATTTATTTTTTGTCTTATAAGTTCAGTTGTCAGAAAACACTATACACTATTTTTTTATTTTTTCAAATTCACAATTAACTAGGCACAGAAATATTTTATTATAATCATAACTCGTATTTAAAAAAGGAGTTACGTTCTTAAAGTAAGACACCAATAATTTTTCACGTTTATTTGGATAATCTTCAAGCAAATATGCGTGCATTGGGTCAATCCCTATGGTCATTATAAAAAAATATTGGTTACAGTTAAGATTTTAAAGTTAAAAATACACAGTTGTGGTGTTTGGTTAGAGTTCTGGCTTCAGAACAGAAGGTCATTGGTTCAAAGCCGGCTCTACTCATATATGCAACATTGAAAAGTAGGGAGGAGCGAACTTCCTGGTTAAATGCGATTGCGGTTAGGGCTTTTCATTTCCCGTAAATTTAGCATCCCGGGATTCCCGGTGTGTAACTTATTTATCCCGGCATAATTTTTAATATAATAACAAGCGGTTTCTGACACAAATTTATCTTAGCATGCTAATCTTTATAACTATTTAAAACAAAATATTGTTTTAAAAAACATAAACAATCAATTGATTTGTCATTTAATCGTGAACGAATTTTTCCCATAAATAGACCTGCGGCAGAAAAAGCTCTTTCTGATTCAATTGATGTCGGCTTGATGGTTATTTTTGTTGAGTATATTCTTTATAAACTCTCGCTACGCTTTCCAGTTGCTTCAAAAAGTTTGATTTTTTTTGTGAGGTTTTTTAAATTGCTTATGTTTTCTAGAGCTGCTTTTTCTACTTGTTTGACATTACAAATAGTCGCATCCAATTTTTGTTCAAGTGTCAAAATACTTTTGCCTAATAAATTTGGAGCAACAGGTTGAGGTACCCAGCTACGTTGGCCC